ACAGTGAATTGGTACTGTTACTTCTGTTGCAGTCTAACACTGCAGGGTTCATTGTAGTCTTCAGTTATTTGTGACTTTCTCTAATAACAAGAAGCTCACTTTTTATAAGCTACAATTTATTTATACTGTATATTGGTCAAATTCTAGTATATACATAAGATAGTTTTGAAAATTGTTGACCTAAACCCCTGCATGTGTGTTTACCAATATTTACTACCTAAATTCAGCATTTAGGTCTTGGGATGTTGCTCAGTGGCAGAGTGCTCCCTTAGCTTGTGTAAGGCCCTGGGTTTGAGCCCCAGGACTACCAAAACAATTACTTATATTTACTACACTTTGATTTGTCTTCAGCCTTTCAACATCTAGTGAAGATACTGTTTTTCATAGTTACCTGGCATAGTCCTTATCTCAGTTACTTTTCTCTCTTTGCTGGGACAAAATACCCAACACCCAAAATTAAGGAAGGTATAGTTTATTTAGCTCACAGTGGAAGTTTCAGTCCATACTTGGTTGGCTCCAAGGCAGAGTGGCACATGACTGAGGGCAGCTATTCATGGCAGCAAAAAATAGCAAAAGCAAGAGCCGAAAGGGAGGAGCAGTGGCTGCAGCACCTAACAAGCCTCTCTCCCTCCCTATTGTATGCAGGCTGTCCTGCCCAGGCTGGGTGTAGCACTCACACTCATCATCCCAGCATTGGATCATGACTTAATCATACACTCTAGAAGCCCTCCGCAATGACTGCATTAGGCTTTGGGGGGACAACCAGGCACAAATCATAATAGTCCTTCTCCACCCTGTGTTAGTCATGTTAGTAATACAGGATGGGTTATTTGTTAAGGTTGTATTTCCTTTTGGCTCCCCCCCCACATCCTTCAGGAAATGGAATCTTGTGTAAGTAAAGAACTACGTCATTTTCTTTCTTTTCAACATGGATCATGATATTTCTTTTTTTCTGTGGGTTAAAGTCTACTAGAATGATTATTTATTGGTTTTATTTACAGTACTTTGTGGGTATTTGAAGGGCATGTGAAATATTACTACAGTTTTGAAAGTAGGAGCTAACAAAATGATCTCTTAGAGCATTACTATTCCTTCATTCCTGTTACTGTTTCCACTTTCTTCTCCGTCCTTTCCCAGTCAGCCCTGTGGACAACTACCCTCTTTCATTTCTGTATTATCTTTCCTTTATTTCTTTTGAACCATTGATCATATGCATCATCAGTGTTTAACTTTTTTATTATAGAAATATATATTCATTGTAAAATAATTAAATATTATCAACATATTTAACTCTGATAGCTACTGTTGTCCTTGTAGGGTTTAAGTGCTTATAATTAAACAAGTACCTAGCTAGGTCAGATAAATACATTTAATAAAAAAATTATATATAAATATAATGGCATATATTCACATATAATTGTGAATAATTATTTTTATTTGACTACAGTGTGTACATTTAACATTTATATTGAACTGTCTCTGGGTTTAATACTCTTTTTTAAATTTTTTTAAAATTTATTTATTTGTGTGTGTGTGTGTGTGTGTGTGTGTGTGTGTGTGGCCAGCTTAGCCCACCAGGGAGTGGGGCTGGCTGGCATGTGGTGCTGGGGAATTGAACCGCGGTCCCTGTGCTTTGCTAAGCTTGTTCTAAATAGGTGCTTTAGACCACTGAGCCATCGCACCAGCCCCCTTAATGCTCTTTTTGTTCTCCAGATATAGTACTATTCTGAGTGTCTCCTGGATAGTTTTGTTGTTTTCCTTGAGGCTTCTGTGGTATATAGTACATGGAGATTTTGCAGTCTGGGGAGTCTGAATGTTGAATCTGGTTCTTCTGCTTATCAGCTTTGATGTGAGTTGAAGCAGATTACTTAACATTATCCAGTTTCACATCTGTCTCATCTGTAAAATAATTTCCAGTGCTATGCTGAAACAGGAACAAGGCTGTTTCCTTGCTCAGTGATTTTTAACACAACACAGGCTCATCTTGGGCAAGTATACATGGAGTATATTCACGTGTGGTTCTACTTGCAGTACCTGGCAGAAGCTGGCTGGATGGCTGAAGGAAGAATAGTTGGAGTGACTCAGCCTCGCAGAGTGGCTGCTGTGACAGTGAGTTTCTTTTTGTTTTGCAGTAATTTCTCTGCATCTTTTATTTCCTTGACTTGTTTTTTTCATTTCCTGAAAGCTTCAAATGAACAGAAATTGCTGCTTTACAATTTAGCTCCTCAGTTTAAAAAGAGCTATGATTTGAATATTGTTGTAGAGTTGATATGTACACATTATGGGCATTTGAAGTAATAAAGTACTGAGGAAGTAAAAACAACAAATAATTTTAAGAAATCAACAGACAGAGCTGGGCATGGTAGCTCCGTGCTACACTGTTTGCTTAGCATCTGTGAGGCGGCACACTGGGTTTGATTCCCAAACCACAGCTAATAAAGCAATAGCAGTGAAAACAGCAGTGACAAAAGACACTTCATCCAGCAAAATGTTGTGAACGGTGTTCCTGGCTTCTCTTAAAGATGAGTGTTTCGCTGGTTGGTTAAAATAGGGTAATGACCATAGATTGCTTTATGTTTGATTTAACAAAAGAAAAATGAAATAGGAGCAGTTAATGAACTTTGGATAAATACTTGTTTGTCACAGAGAATTTATTTATTTTCACAGAGAATTTATTAAAGCTTGAAAAGAAAAAAAAAGATTAAAAACTTTTAAAATGTTATATTTTGAGGTTGATAGAGGTTTTGGTTATGAAAAAAGAGGAAATTAACATAGATCTTCATTCCACCTTTCTTCCATTTGTTGATACAGTATTGTAATTTTCACTTCAACATTGTTGTGGTTTGTTTGTACCTAGATGTCCCCCCAAAGCCTCATATACTTTTAGATGGGGCTTTTTCAGAAGTAGCTGAATTTAGAGTTTGTGATTGATTCATTGTTCAATGCTAGGGTTCAGGGTGCTGGGGTTAGGGGTAGGTAATTCCTAATCTATCCATTGGTTGGATTGGCACCACCCTAATCTCAGCAGTCTGGATAGGATAAAAGGGGCAGAAAGAGGTTCCTCCTTCTTGCTCTTACTGCTTTTGCTGTCTTCTGTGGCTGTGAAATGTTGTCCCGCTGCCATGTGCCATCTTCTTTGGAGCCAGCCAATTATGTGAGCTAAACAAACCTTTTCTCCCTTGATTTTAGGTATTTTGTCTCAGTAACAAGAGAAAAATAAGACAAAGATTTATTTATTTTAAATAACATCATTAAGTGAAATAAAAATTTATTCAATTTATTTTAAATGGATTAAATGCTTATCTCTAATTATTTTCCATGTTTTTGTTAGCTCTGAATTAATCATTTTTATTTGTTGGATGGCTGAATTTTTTTGTTCATTAACTTAGTTTTACATGCCTGAGAATATTTGTGATCATGATGTAAAATTTTGGATTCATACTCTCTTTTCTTGGAAACTGCAGATTGTTCCATGGCCCTGGCCATTAAGAATCACTACAGGTCTGAGTCAGCATTTCAGCAGGGCTTTCCTCTTACTTTCTAGCTTTTTTTTTCTGCTTAAATGCCGCAATACTGATTTTTCATTAGGATATGTGTTGGTGTTGCTTGTACTATTACAGTATTTCTTTCTTTTATTTAAGACAGGGTCTTACTGTGTAGTGCACACTGACCTTGAACCCAAGGCAATCCTGCTGCAGCCTCCTTGGCTGTACTACAGGTGTGTACTGAGCTGTCTATCCAGTTGTCATAATATTTCTTTTATTTTTTTCCTGACAGAATCTTTTTTTTTTTTTTTTTAAATTACAGGGTGTACAGGGTCTCACTTTATAGATTGGACTTGTAGTGATCCTCCTGTTTATAGCCTCCCAAGTGCTGGGATTACACGTGTGTGCCACAATGCCCAGTCTCAATTGCTGTCTTAGTGCGCACAGCAGGCCAGGAGATCAAACTCCTGGCCTCTGTGTCTGCCTAAGCAGGTGCTTCAGTCCGCTGAGCTATTTGGCCAGCCCCTGACAGAATCATTTTTTATTTTTTATTTTTTGTATTTTTTTAAGGGAAGGTTCCACAGGGTGTTCATTGTCTCACTACTAGAGATTGGACTTATAGTGATCCGCCTGCTTACAGCCTCCCAAGAGCTGGAATTATAGGCGTGTGTTACCACGCCCAGCCTCCCTGACAGAATCTTTTAATGAATAATCTTTTAGATTTTTTTCCCTGAACCAATAAATCTTTGTTTTCTTAAGCATAGGAAAATTCATTGGGAATAAGGAATGGGGACTAGGAATAGCTCCTGAGGGACAGGGATCTCCCAAATGGGTTGCCCAGTATTTTATTTTATTTTATTGGGGGGGACTGGGATTCGAACTTAAGACCTCCTGCTTGTCAGGCAGGCCCTGTGCTGCTGAGCTGTATACCCGGCCGCCCAGTATTTCTTAAAATATGGAAAAACTTTTACCTTCAGGTTCAAATCTGTGTCAGTTAGGTAAGTTTTCTTTTGTTATATCATAGCATACCTTTCTGTCCAGTTATTTTATCCTCTTTTGTAAGCATCAAACTAGTGCTCGTTAGATATCTTTTTTTTTTTTTTTTTTTTGTGGAACCGGGGATTGAACTCAGGTCCTTGCGCTTGCCAGGGAAGCGCTTATTCCACTGAGCCATCTCCCCGGCCCTCGTTAGATATCTTTTGTTTACTTTTAGTATTGATAACCATCTCTGGCTGGGATCATCTGCTCTTTTCCAGTTCTTTTTGTGGTATTTCTTGATGCCATGTACTATGGTCATGAATCTAAGTCATTTCTTTGAATTCTTTATGCCTTCCTTCCATCCCTTTCCTTTCCTTCTCTCTTCTATTTTTCTTTTCCCATTATTTTATTGAGAAACAGATAGCAATGAGAGAGTTTCAAAATAAATTGGTAGGACAGTTTCAATAATTAACACATTGCATACATTCTTCCTAGTGGTTAATTGCTGTACAAGATGCGGACTTGATGTCCTATTTACGAACACTATTAGAACAAATCCCTCTATTCATTAAGAGAATATAACTATATATCTATTCTAACCATTTTGTATACACAGATACAAAATGGACATTTATCTATATCCCCTTTTTTTGTTAAGTTGCGTTATTTGAATATTATAGGTGTGTTAACTCAGCAAAATATTCTAAAGGAGTCCAGAAGTCCATAGTAGTATTGGGTCTTCTGCTTGACTGGCAATGTCAGAAATTGTTGACCAGAGTCCCGTACAGCTCAATATAACAGCATGGCTTTACTTCTTATACTTCATTTTTATATATTTCTGCTAGATGGTTAAGACCAAGATAAAGCAGGACCTATGCAACAAGAGTTGTAGCTTTTGGGTCTGATAAGGTCAGTGAAATCCCCTCAGGATTTATCCCGAGATCCTGTACCTCAGATTGTACATCTTTGGTCAGTGTCAGCCGTGTGGTTGAGTCATGGCCATTGCTTGGCTAATGTGCTCTCTGTGAAAGCCTGAGAGAATGTTTTCTCTCCATGTGACTCTCCTTAGGCACACTCTACATCACTGATCACTTTCCTCTTTGGCCCCATGATCTCCTTGATCAGAAAATTTGGGACACTACTACTGAGTTACATGACGTTACAGTACAAGTTCTCATATGTCCTGAGTCTTACTTGACCTTGGAAGGCTAGGGCCAAAATGTTGGCTTTCCTTGTGGCCCTCCTTTTTCTGTAATTTTGGTCTGCAAACTTAGGTTGTTAACCCTCCAGACGAGAAGTTGGTTATTGCCATACAACCTAGGCTGTTAAGCTTAACCTCACTGTCTGTCTTAATATCAAACATCTTAGGCATAACATGGAACAGGTATTTTTCATCAAGTATTGATATGTTGAACTTTAAGTCCCTACAGAATATGATGAAAAAATATTTAAAAATTAGAATATATTTTAAAAATAGGCATAAAGAATTATATAATTCTTATGTTTACATGTAAGTCCAGAAATCTAACCATATACAGCCTTGAAGCAGGGCAGTCCCACAATATCCCTTTTCCTGTCTCCTGCCTTCATTCATCACCCCCTTCTTTCTTCTGTTTTTCTTTACCTCCCCCCTTTCCTGCTCTCCTTATCTTCCTCTCTCCTTTCATTCTTTCTTTTGTGCAGCTGGGGATCATGAGCTTGGTAGGTAAGTGCTAGGTAAATACTGCAGTAGCTGCACTATTCCTCCCTTTTTTCAGTAGACAGAGAAGCAAATAGAATGAAAGAAGACACCACATCATGTTATAAGTTTTAAAAACTAATAATGCTACAAACATGAAAAATATCCATAAAAATAACATGATTTTAAAAAATATCAGTTATTTGCTGGACACATTTCTTTAAACTCTTTTCCACAATTTTTGAATGTATTCCTTAAGGGGTAGTGGTTGTCTATTATTTTCCTGTAGAGAGACTTGAACATTTAATCTTTCTGCTAGCATGGCCAATTCACATTTGCTTTTTATTATTAATAATGGGAAAGTTCTTTAGTTTGTGACTTATTTATTTTTATTTTTTTGTGGTACTGGGAATTGAACTCAGGACCCTGTGCTTGAGAGGCAACTGCTTATTCTAGTGAGCTATCTCCCCAGCCCAATGACTTATTTATAACATTATGTAAATCTGGGGAATTCTCACATTTGGGAAAACTTCTCCAGCTAGTTTCTTTCATGTTCAAGTGATAAGATCTGCAGGATTTTCCCACACTGGCTTCTGGCCTGTTCATGTAACACCTTGTTCCTCCTTGATTCTCCTTTTTATCTATCCTGAAGCTCTGTTTAGCTTCAAAGCTTCAACTTGTGATTTCTTTGAAACCCAGTTTCCATATATGAATGCTTTGGGTGATGCTTTTCCATTTTCATTTCAGACTCATAATTTGCTCCTATTGTTTCCTTTTTTTTTTTTTTTTTTTGTGGTACGAGGCATTGAACTCAGGACCTTGTGCTTGCCAGGCAAGCACTTATTCTACTGAGCTATTTCCCCGGCTTCTTTCTTTTTCATCAGCTTTTGTGTGCTGGGGTTATGATAGTACTTTAATTTGTGGTAACTTAAGTTGTGGTAAGTACTCATCTCTGCAGGAGGCCACTGGCAGCCCCAGAGCTGTGAGACTAGCGGTTTGGCTGCGCATGCCTTCCTGTTTAGGGTGGGGATGAGGATAAGGATCTGGCAGTACACTCTTTGGTGATCTGTGGCTCAGGATAAGATTCTCGTGTTCTCTGATTGGGGATTTGGTAGTTGTGTTCTGCCTGCCTTTTCCTTCTCTTTCTTTACTGCCATCTATAATCCTTCACTATTGATGAGGGCCTCTCCTGTGACACTTCCTATGTCTTCTGTGGCTTTTTCCAATAGGATTATTGGCTCTGCCTTTGTGAGGTGACACTGACATTAAGGAAACCAGCAGTTGGTCGTTGCGAGGTGGCCTGGGCCTTTTTCTTCTGGATTTAGATCTCATAGTGACGGTTGTGCTTCCTGGTTTGCTGTCTGGGCTTGTGGCTGCCCTGTCATTAAGGATAGAGGCTTGTACTGCTATTTTAATTCTTTTGTTGCTTTTTTTATTAGTTTTGAGAAAGGAAAGATACTTTTGTTTTGTCATCTTTACCTAAACAAGAAATTAATTCTATTTCTTCAAGTTATTTTTGTTCTGTGGAGCTTATTGTGTAGTAGACTTTCTACACAGTCTATTATTTTATGGTTATTTCAGTTAGAAATAATTGATAAACATTTTTCAAGGAGTGTTTGTGTGAGACAATAAAAAGGAATAGCAATTTGGGAACTATACATTCTGTGGTGATAGATTTAAACTTTCATGACTCAGTTGCCTAAAAACTCAAGCATTTTCCTTTTGTGGTTTGGAATCCAGGTTCTTCACCAGTTTGCATTTTAGCTCCAAATCTGTAGTTATGGATAACTTCCATGCAACCACAAGTTTGCTCTTGTAAGAATAAAGAATGTATAAAATAAGCATGTAGTATTAATAGGGCTTGTCACATTTGAAATGCTATTTCAGTATTATGTGCAGACTGAAATCTGAAAACAATTGTAGAGCCTGAGAACAGGTTGCATAAGCAGGGCTTGCTCTCTGAGAGAGGCTGTAGTAGTGAGCGTAACTAACTGGCCTCACACAGTGCAGGTTTCAGTTCTGGACCAGACCCTCCTCCCTCTGAGACTTAGAGCAGGCTCCGTGCCAGTGCCAGCCTTCCAGCTTCTTCGATTCCCATCCATGACCTGGCTGGAGATGCAGAACATAACCCTGGGCCTGTTGTGGGTATACTGTGGCTGGTTTTCTTTTTCATTTTACCTTCTCCCCTTGTATATATTTGGTCTGTCAAGAAGATAATATATGTTTCCTTTCGTTGATGAGGTTTTGGGAGTAGAATGTAAACAACAAAGAAAAAACTAATAAATGTCTAGTAGAATATAACCCTATATAATTGTAAATGTTGAAATTAAAAGAGTTTGAAAATAAAAACATTTTCAGTGCTCTTGTATACAAATAGTGAAATAACAATAAATTTGTGTTTTTTATTTTTTTGTGTGTTTTACTTTTAGATTTAAGAAATGATTGTATTTTAGTGAAGAGGACCAGTTGATTTATCTTCACTCTTAGAAGCTTTTTTTCTTCAGAGTCTCTTTGTATGTTTTTGTATGTGTTCTCTTCGTACCATCTTACAAGATTTATGTTATACCACCATGTAGGGTAAACTTAGACCAACAACAAAACTATCCTGGGAAATGTTGTTTATGTTTGTACAACCTCCAGAGGTTGAGCTGCGTAGGATGAATTTCTGGTTTCATAAGAAGTTTTGAAGGAGTACATGGTACAGATCAGCTCCTCGATGATTGATTCTGGTTTGGCTTGCCAGAGCTGTAATTTCAGTCATTGCCACTTCTGATCCTCATGTGCTCTGCAGTTTCTTAAATGGTGATGGATAGATAATCCAGAGTGTACTTGCCTGGGAAGACTGAGTGCGAGGATCTGTACCTCTGAGCCCGGGACTGCTGGTGCAGGGCTGTGTCAGTAAGCTGGGCCTCAGGACACCTCATGTGCCAACCATTTTCCAAACTAGGACTCAGGAACCACCGGAAAGCTTAAGGTTGCCTCCTCTCCGAAGCAGGGCATCTGAATGCCTCCTTTACTTGGGTTGGTGTAATGTGCTGGAGCCCAGTATTCCTACTTATGACTTCTCTTTGGTGCTTTTCTGTTAGATAATTTATTTATTTATTTATTTTTTTGTTTAATGTGTGGCCAGCTCAGCCCACCAGGGGGCAGGCTGCCTGGCATGTGGTGCTGGGGATTGAACCGTGGTCCCTGTGCTTTGCTAAGCTTGTTCTAAGTAGGTGCTTTAGACCACTGAGCCATCTCACCAGCC